AGTGACAAGTGGGCTATGAAGAAGATATCTTAAATGTTTTAGTTTTTACTGTTCCAAATCAAACCGGCTGAAGAGTTTGATGGCGGCTATTCGTAGATGATTATATCTAATTTCACATAAATTTTATGAGACGGAGGATTTTTTTGTGTTTGATATTTTCGAAAGAGAACAAGCCTTTGATATCCCATAGAAATAATAATATTTTTTAAACAAATATTTTCTTTCAAGATTATTGGTCACTAGCGACTCACCCTCGCTTCGCTCAGGTTCGTCTTTAGGTTGATTTCTCATACAAACTTTCATCCCCATTTTCATCCCCTTAAGGGATGATTTTCGGGGTAGAAACTATGTCCTTTCTAGGGTCTCAGACTATCTTCTTACCAAATGTTATCTAAATCGGTCTAGTAGTTTCGGAACTTATTCGGTACAATAAACAAACAATCTTTTCTCTTCTCTAATATATAGAAAAAAAAGTCTTATATTATCAAAAAATATTTTTAAATTAAAATTTTAACTTCAGATGTAAATATATAGGTACTTAATTGTATTTTTAGTACATATTTAATTATCTTTTGATATTTAAGAAAACTTATGATTAGTTTGTAACGGCTACCTTGAACAAACTAGGTCGATGCTCACTGACCTCTACTCGAGCTAACGCATTTACCCACTTTTCATGAAACTGCTTTAAACGGATTAACATGACTTATAACCTTTAGTTAAACTAAGTAATGAAGATTTGATTCTGATACGATTCATTTTGTTACAATTTTGTTTAGTTCGCCTCTAGTTGATTATTTAAATTTACATAATTTTTTTATTTCTGAACCGATTGAAATAAAACATATACTAAATATTAAGTCAAGCATTACCATCATAATACATTAGTAATTTATTACTTCGTAACCGATATATATATATAAATGAACATGTGAGGCTGTATAACGAGATAGGAAAAAAAATCGTCATATGAATACCTCGTATGTTAAAATCTGTCAAGCTCTTAGATGCACAAACGCAGTACCCTCTTTCTAATGCAGTTGGATAAAAAATAATAATAAAACAACCATTTGCCGTATTATCTTATTTTAGAATCAAAATCCATTATAATAGTTGTGTTTTAGTTAAAATCAGTTCGAAAGTTTCCAAAGTTATAGTTTATAGAATTTTTGTGTGTCTGTCTGTCTGTTTATCTGTCTGTCTGGGAACGCATCACGAGACAACTACTGTACAGATTTTGATGAAATTTGGTATGATGATAGCTGGTTATCCCGGTCAACATATAGGACTTTTACTACTTTTTACTGCGGGAAAATATCTCATCTCTGAGAAATCTATACTAAGCTTTAAGCGTAAATAGGAATGAACCCGAGCAGAGCGACGGTGAGTGGCTAGTGGAAAATATTTTTACAGAAATCTTCACTGACCCCACTTTTTCACAGCGGATTAGCCGGTAACATGGTAACTCTTAATGAATCTTTTTGTATCAAAAAATCTCATTTTCGCCAAAAAATATTGTCAAGCTTAATCCTACCGTGACTTTGTGAAATTGCTTCGACTTACGCGGCCCTCCGCGTTACGTCTTTAAGAGAAACCATTAATCTTCATTTCTATAATATGAATATATTATCAAATTTTCTTTTATGATCGTATGTTTGTCGGTTTCAACCTCTTTATAAGAAAGTGTTGAGAGTAAAATCTATATTTCTATACTAATATTATAAATGTGAAAGTTTGTGAGTATGGATGTTTGTTACTCTTTCGCGCCAGAACGGCTGAATAGATCTGGATGAAATTTGGCTCAGAGATAGATAGTCTGTAATAACATATAGGCTACTTTTTATCTCGGAAAAATGTACGGTTCCCGTGGGATAGGTTTGTTTTGGTTTTCCTAAAGGAAAACCCGAGCGAAGTGAGGGTAAGTATATTATAAAAAGCTGACGACTTGACTTGACGACAAGTTTAGCTCAGTTTGTAGTGACCCTACTCGCTGTGCCAGCGGTCGTGGGTTCGAGTCTCGCTGGAGGCATTCATTTCTGTAATGAGCATGAATGTTTGTACTCCAGTCAAGGGTGTTTATATTTATAATGTGTATGTATTTAAAGTTATATAGGTATATGTAGTGTATCAACAATCTGGTATCCATTACACAAGCCTCGTACCTCACCATGGAACTAGATGGTGCTGTGTTTAATGTCCCAACAACAACAACTGTACAGTTTTTTTGTTTGAACTGTTTAATCTCTGGAACTACCAATTCGATTTGAAAAATCTCTTTTTACGTTTTATAGCCCCCTGCTTCGCTTAGGCACGTCCCTAGACAAAAAAAAAGATTTAGATTAGATTTTAAAAAAAATCAAAATTTTGAATTTTTTTGAATCCGAAAGTTCGTATGTGGGTATGTTTGTTTGTTATTTCTTCATGTTGTAACAACTTGACGGATTTGAATAAAATTCAGTACACAGATTGACTATGGCCTAAAATAACATAGGGTTCTAGTAGTAATAAAATTTGCCAAAAGCTGGCGCTACTTATATATAGTAAAGCGAGGGTAAGTCATTAAGTTATGATCATATGTTTTCTTAACTAAAGAGACAACACACAGAAAACATCGTTTATTTTATAAAATCTTTCAACAATTAAACAAAAACAAAAGAATCCAAACATATTTCACGATTCAAGTATAACAATCTCAATAAAAATAAAAAGTACCCGCATAGTATCAATCACATAACAGCTCAGACCCTTTCCTTTGGTAATGTTCCCATTTGCATATAAATGTGTGCCGCCTATAGAGTGGAGTGACTGGTTGTTTAAAATAATATGAATATTATCTATGCTGTACATTGTATTTTTAAAAGGCATAACGGTGGCAATTTGGTATTTTTTTGCCATTATTATAACACTATCTATACATCTATACATATAATAAAACTAAAGAGGTCGAATGTCTATACACAGAAAAATGCTAAAAACCGAGTCACGCGATCTAAGAAGAGATATAGAACAAATCCAGTATTTTTTTCAATTTTTTTGTTTCTCTGTCTGTTTGTCTGTTTGTACGGGCTAATCTACGAAACTGTTGGACCAATTTAACACAATAACTTTTGTACCTAATTTAGTAAAATTTGGCATGCTTACCTATATATATACCTATATTATATGATACCTTATATTACCAGTCAAACAACAGGTTACTTTTTATCCTGATTTAGATCTGTTCCGCTAGTTGTACAATAAAATTGTAAAAAAAATACAATTAAAGAGATGCGCTAAGGAGGCCTTATTTCTATTAGCGATTTTTTGCAGGAAATCGATTGAAAATGATACAAATAAAAGTAAAGAGAGGAATGGTGCATAAAGTGCAAATTACTAAAATCTTAATTTAAATAAACATACATACAAAGTTATATATATTATATATGATAACTAACAAATTTAAAATATTTTATTCAGCATTAAATTATTACATTTTTTACTGAACGTCATGAATCTACTACGAGTTCGGTAAGAAGAACCCTCAAAACCTGAGAAAAACTGGCGATATTATATAGTACTTATAACCATATAAATAAGTTCGCCTGACCGTTTTTCAGGATCTCGGGATGTGCAGCCGTTCATGCTAGCCATTACGCCATCGAGGCAATTAATAATATATATTTATTAAATAATGCTATTATGAGAAGTAGGCCTGTGCCTAACTTTTCGACCTGGTTTTGTAATGGGGAGAGCCATATTAATAAAATATATAAAAACTAGGTGAATCCACGGCCTTGAAAAAATTCAGGCCATAAGGGTTAATTAATAGCTTTAGTTGATTTGTATAAGTTTTTTTATTTAAATTGTATAAAAATATGTCAATTATTGAAACACTCACATTAATACGAGTAATTAATTTATAAGCGTAGAAAATTGTATATTTCGCATGTGTATTTTTATCCAATAAACAAAAAAGTATAAAAAATATAAAAAAGATATGTAAATGTTTTTGATAATTATAATTAGCATTTCGATTATTGTGCATATAATTTGAAGATAATTGATAGGGCGTCCAATAAGTTTAATTTTTCAAGGACGCTAGCAACGATTTCGTAAATTATAATATATCAGGTGTGTTTTATTTATTTATCACAGATAATTTTCCACGCATGTGGCAATGTTTTATTATCTTTGACTAATACCAAGCATATGGAGAGTTTTAAAAATTGTATTTGGCTCCATACCTACTTTGTGTAATGCAATCACAGCGATTCCGTTTTCTTTATCACCCCACACCATTTTAATATCACAAAGTATTTTACAGTGTATTGGCGCGAAAATGAGAAAACACAATAAACAATCATATAAAAATGTCAGATTCCAAATTCAAATGTAATATTTTGTTTATATTTAATTGTAACAGTATTTATGGCAAGACTATGTATATAGTGCCAGTGGTCGCGGGTTCAAGTCCTGTTGGGGCATTCATTTGATGAATTCGATTCATTCATTCGATGCTCGTTGATTCGTTTCTAGTCCAATCGTAAGTGTTTATATTTATAATACGCATGTATTTAAGATCATATACGTATTAAATGTATAGTATAATATATGACCTTATCATCAACTATCTGGTATCCATAACAAGCCTAATAAGCTTACCATGGAACTAGATGGTGCTGTGGTAATGTCCAAACATATTATTATAATTAAATTACATACAGTAAAGGACAAATTTTAACTCCATATAGAGCTTGTGATTTTTTTTTTAAATAATTTATGCATAAAATTATTGAATTATTGAATGCTTTACAACGTACAACTACATAAAAATAAAATAAAGATTTTTAGTACTTAAGATATTGTCATAAAAAATTGTAAAAAATAAAAAAATGTCCAAAATTGTATATTATTGTGTTCAACCTTGCCAATCAATATAATTAGAATTAAAGGTAATATACATATATTTTACAGATAGAACCTGAATTGTTCAGTTTGTAGACGTTAATTGCCGTAGCAAAATGAATTTTGTCGATAAAACTGTTCTTATCACTGGTGCCGCCTCCGGTATAGGAAACGCTATAGCTAAAAATTTTGCTAAACTTTCTGCAAATCTGTCTTTATTAGATATAAATAAAGATAACCTCTATAAAGTAGCAGAAGAATGTGAAAATTTGAGTAAAATCACAGTAATTAAATTTGTAATCGATGTTAGTAACGACACGGAATTGAAGCAAGCAGTGAATGAAACTGTTAAAGAATTAAATAAAATCGATGTTTTAATAAATTGTGCAGGCATTTTAAGTAGCGTCAACATAACTGATTCTGATATTTTAGAAGTTTACGATAAAGTGCTAAGAGTAAATCTGAGATCTGTCATCGCTGCTACTCACTTTGCTGCACCCGCATTGATTGAAAGTAAGGGATGTATTGTAAACATTTCAAGTGTTATGTCCAAATTAGTTTGTGAAAGAGCTATTCCATATAATGTTTCTAAGGCTGGAATCACACATTTGACAAAATGCGTCGCATTAGAATTAGCAAAGTATGGAGTACGAGTTAACTGTATAGCTCCAGGGATAGTGAGGACTAATATTTTGGAAAATAATGGTTACTCTAAAGAAAGGAGACAGGAAATTGAGAAGTCTTGTTTAAATAAGAATCTTATTAAACAAATTATTAAAGCAGAAGAAATAGCAGAACTAGCAGCATATTTGGCAAGTAACAAAGCTGTTAGTATCACTGGTACTGAATTTGTTATTGATTGTGGTATGACGATATTTTCCCAACACTGCAACTTGAATTGAATTATTAAGTAATATATAGTAAATAGACATCTAACAAAATTAAAATTACTTTTAATAGTCGTTCTGCTATTTATGTTGGTTATCAATTTATTTTAACGTGTTTTTTAATAAAATATTATTTTGTCTGGATTATTTATTTTATTTATTTATAAATACTTTATTGCACACACACAAAAATAATACAGAAGATGAAAAGAAAAAGAAAAATAGCAAAAGGTATGCAAAGGCAGTCTTATCTGTATGTATACTTTATTTATATAATTGCGCTTACTTTTTCTTATTGTGCATAGCTTTACAATGTTTTATAAGACTTGTAATATTCAAAATATTCATTTGTGTAAGTCATAATTAAAACCTGATCGAAGTTATAATTGAAGTAATGAAACATAATTGATTATAATTTGATCTTTACAATTTAAATTTACAGTAAAGTTGTAATTGGTAAACTGCAAATACTAAATCGATTTAATAACTCTTTCACTATTAGGCTCAAACTTCAAACATACTCACATACGTACATACACTGTCTAAAAGTGCGATAAAAAATTTTATTTCAATAATAATAAGTTTTTGGGTGATAGTGGTAACGGTAATAAACTATTAAAGAATTAATTTCCAACGTGGTTACCACTTGTCTTACGATGAAGGAAAACATCGTGACGAAACCTGCATGTCTGAGAGAACTAAGGAAGTTTTTGAAAGACATGTGAAGTCTGCCAACCCGCACTTGATCCGTGTGGTGTGGAATATCGCCTGATCCCCCTCGTATTGAAGGAAGGCCTGTGTCCAGCAGTGGGACGTTAAAAAGGGCTAAATATAATAATAAGTATTCAGCTAGAAATAAGTCACTAGTTTTATATCCATAATATCCATACTAATATTACAAATGCGAAAGTAACTCTGTCTATACATCTGTTTGTTAAGTTTTTACGCCTAATCCACTGATGAATTTTGGTATACAAATGGATGGGACTTATGCAACGTAGAGATTTTTGATCAAGCTTTCTTTTCTATAACTCAAAATTACACTATGTATTAGATGAGCTATTGATGAAATAAAAGCTGACTCAGCGTACTTGTATAGCTTTAATAGAAACTGGCGACTTACCCTCGCTTCGCTAGGGTTCGTTCCTTGCTAGATTCCCCATACAAACTTTCATCCCCATTTTTACCCCCTTAAGGGATGATTTCCGGGATAAAAATTATCCTATGTCCTTTCCAGGGTCTCAAACTATCTTCTTACCAAATTTCATTTAAATCGGTTTCATAGATCCAGAGATTACCCCCTACAACGTCACAAACTCACAAACTTAACCTCTCTATAATATTAGTATATATAATTAAATAGTAAAAATTAAATATATATATCTATTTTTATGTAAATAAAAATGATATTTTTTTCTTTGTTTGTAATCTATGTAGACCTATATTTTTACCATTAGTTATTATTACCATTCGTTCGATAGGGTTTGTAATGTGGTCAGTTATTCTAGGTACGCCAGTGAAGTTTCCTACCCCAAAAAAAGTTTTCTTTATATGTACACCGTCTATACGTTCCTATACCATTCATCCCTCTGGGACGCTCTCGAGCAAAATGAGAATGAGCGCTAATTAATAGTAAAAAAGTAATGAAATCTCGATTGAATGTATTAAAAATATCACATGTTTTAGGTAATTTAGGTGTCGAATTAAATTGTTTGCTGTTTTTGTCACGTGTGGAGTTAAATTGATTTCAATAGGATTTTTAAACGTGATGTCAGGGCCCGATTGCCCTCGTGTTGAATGGATACCCTTGCCCTTATCCTCGGATGTTAAAAAGGGCTGAATACAAAGATATTCTTAAATATACAGATATTTGTTTTATATTATAAGTAACTTATAAATTATTTCACTATCGTAGTATAAAACAGTAAACAAAAGATGGCGTACCGTTTCAACTACATAGTTTTATGCTGACTTTCAATAGTCGCTGTCGGTCAACTGTCAAGTAACTATGGCCCTAAGGAAGATAACATGTGAAAGTTTTTGAAAGTAAAAACTTTGAGTATTTTTATTCTATGCTAATGTATACAGGAAGTGTTAGCCCAGTAGTAGTAGTAGTAGGTAGCGCGCTCGCTTGGGTAACCGAGTGAAGTGGGTTTAAATCCCGGTTCTCGCAACTTTGATATTTTCATGTGGGAATCATTTTCAACTTGATTACCACTCGTCTTACGGTGAAGGAAAATATTGTGAGGAAACTTGCATGTCTGAGAAAACCTAGCAAGTTTTCGTAAGACATGTGAAGTCCGCTAACCCTGACACTTGGCCAGCATGGTGGACTATGGCCTGATCCCCCTCGTATTGAAGGGCGGCCCGTGCTCAGCAGTGGAAGGTCGAAAATGGCTGAATACAATATACATGTACATGACATAGTTTTTCCGATAATTTTTACTTAAAAATATAACAATCAATTACATTGAAGGTAGAGCTTATAAGCCAGTGTTATTTACTTCCATGATATTGTAATCTTTCTTTATAAGTATACATACTATTCGTGTGTATATCACTGACCTTCTCCTAAACGGCTGGACTGATTTTTATGAAATTTTTTGTGAGTCTTTTAGTGGGTTCCTGGATGGTTTATATTCACAACTGGATTTTATAAGTGGCTGCGTGCTCGGGTTCTATGATTTTTATTTTTTATTTATTTATAAATAAAGATGTTTGTACTTTTAAAAATAAAAGGAGATAACGCCTAGGTATGCTTTCTCCATATATTTTTTTGTTTTCTACTCTTGTTTTCTACTAGTGATGTCGATTGTAGAATATCATCTTATAGAACATCATGTGCCTTTGTCCTTTACTTTACGGCGCTGTTAGGAAAAGGCTGCGAAATTCCATTTGTTCTCGACCTCTGTAATAAATTTATGCCAACATTAAGTCTGTCACAGATCTTTCTTCCCTTGTAAATTTTGTGGAATAGAAAGGAAGTGAAATATGTCGATATGTACTTTGCTTATACTAATAGGAAAACCTTTTTAGTGTAATATACGAGTATTGTTAGAAAATAGTTGTACTGTAGTAGGAATGTTTTGTTAATTTTACAAATAACTAAAACTATTATGGTGCTGAATTGGGGAAAACGTAGTAAATAATCACTACGATACCTTTGCTATTAAATATTTCAGTAAAAGGGCCTGAAGGTAATATAAATAGGTAAATATTGATGATATAGCGTGTTATATTTCACAAGCAGTAAGACTGTAAGTGCCCTACAATATCTTCTCTACCGTCATACTCTAATTTCCTTTACCCCATCCTTGAAAGAAGCTGCGTTGGACAAGATCGTAAGAAAACTTGCATGTCTGAGAAAACCTAACAAGATTTCGAAAGACATGTAAAGTCCGCACCCGCACTTGGTTGGCGTGTTCACCACGCCTATGACCTGATTTTCCTCACATTCAGGAAATACCGTGTCCAGCAATGGGATGTTGCCATAGGCAAGCTTAATAACAAACAGACTGTTTACAATATCCACATTTACATCACCAAAAAACACTGATACTATAAAATCACTTAGTTGAATCATCCGCATTTTTCGGAATTAACGAGACCTTGTATTTTATTCTTATATGAGGTTGGATAAAACAAATAAAATAAAAATATAACGATAATTTTATAAGCATTTAACGATTATTTAGTCGTTACTATTTACTCTATCGTTTAACAACAAACGAAAGCAGAAGAACAAACGAAAGAATATAAAACAGTATTAACAGCTATTAGGGCTAAATTATCTAATTAATTATTAAAGTCTTAGGAATAAAATAGGTCAATTATTTTATTTATATTTTGTGTCTTGTTATTTATTAATGGTTAATGTTATTTATCTTCTTCTTTTTAGAGGTATATTACTGACTCACCCTCGACACGCTTGGGTTCGTCGCTAGTTTAAACGTTTTAACGTTTAGTATACATTTCTCAGAGATGAGATATTTTTCCGCAGTAAAAAGTTTCCTATATGTTGACCCAGAGAACCAGCTATACCTATTCATACCAAACATCAAAATCTATCCAGTGGTTTTCTCGTAATGCAGTCATAGACAGACAGACATACACAAATTCTAAAAACTACAGATTCGGCCTCTGTATTCATAATAATGACTATTTCAATAAGATTTTCCAAAAAATATTTAATGTACAGATTCGGCTTAGTTACAATTTTATTATATGTATGTCAAATATTCGCGTAAATCTAAGAAAGTATTATGTGAACAACATCTGTTGAGATATTTATTTATTTAATACATCAATATGTGAACATACAAATTGACTAACATTTTAATTCTATAATAAGGCGGGTTAATATAAATACATAAATCCTTTCAAATAGGTATCCATTAGTATTTTAGTAGCTAGCTTATGCTATATAGATGGTAGCATAATCGCGCGCCCAAAGAGTTTAAAATATTGCTATTTATATCAATACTTGCAAAACCAGGTTTTGCAAGTATAAACTACAAAAATAAAACTACAAAAAAAATCTTTAAAAAGATAGGTTTCATACAAACTTTAATCCCCTATTTTGCCCCCTTATGAGATGAATTTTGAAAAATGCTATAAACGTATTTATTTAATTGTATTGAAGAGCATTAATACCAAATTTGAAGTTATTCTGGTCATAAATATTTTTTTGGGTTGTATTATAACGTGTGTACCCGTGGGAATGAGATAATTTTCCGCGGTAAAAAGTATCCTATGTCACTCTCCAGTCCTCCAACTATCTCCACATAAAAAAACACGCCTATCCGTTTCTTTGTTTCGATATGAAAGAAGGACAAACAAACAAATACAGTTTCACATTTATAATATTGAAATTAAAATAAAGTATGGATATGGATTTTAGCACATATTTTGGTAGATTTTTATAATACCATGATTTTTATGTAAAATGGGTTTAAGTTAATTACAAAAGGTTTTGTAATGTTGCTGTTTATCAAGATTAGTAATTAATTAAG